TCAGCCAACAATCAGCTCCAGGAAGATCAAAGAAGGTCTAAAGTTACCTGTGAGTACTGTTACAATTAGAAGATGCCTATGTGAAGCCAAGCTATCTGCAAGAAGCCCCCGCAAAGTCCCACTGTTGAAAAAAAGACGTGCTGAAGAGGTTACAATTTTTCAAAGAGCACATTGACTGGCCTAAAGAGAAATGGCACAACATTTTGTGGACTGATGAAAGTAAGATTGTTCTTTTTGGGTCTAGTGGCCGGAGACAGTTTGTCAGACGACCCCCAAACACTGAATTCAAGCCACAGTACACTGTGAAGACAGTGAAGCATGGTTGCGCAAGCATCATGATATGGGGATGTTTCTCATACTACGGTGTTGGGCCTACTTATCGCATACCAGGGATAATGGATCAGTTTGAATACATCAGAATACTTGAAGAGGTCAAGCTGCCTTATGCTGAAGAGGAAATGCCCTTGAAATGGGTGTTCCAACAAGACAACGACCCCAAACACACCAGTAAACGTGCAACATCTTGGTTCCAGACCAACAAGATTGACGTTATGGAGTGGCCAGCCCAATCCCCGGATCTTAACCCAATAGAAAACTTGTGGGGTGACATAAAAAATGCAGTTTCTGAGGCAAAACCAAGAAATAGAGAAGAACTGTGGACTGTAGTCCAATCATCCTGGGCTGGAATACCTGTTCACAGGTGCCAGAAGTTGGTTGACTCCATGCAACACAGATGTACAGCAGTTCTCAGAAACAGTGCTTCTACAACTAAATATTAAGTGATTCAAAGGAAAGCAAAATCTTCAAACATTTTTCAGTTTATATAGTGAATGTTTGAGTTTGTAAAGAAGAATACAAACACTGCTATTTTTTTGAATAGTCTAATATTCACTTTTCTTCAATTTTTTTAGAGGAACAACACAAATTTGATATATTTTTCTTCATGTTTTGATTTGGAATAGAATGTGTAGTGTTCCCAATGCATTTGTGTGTATGGAAAAAAAAGCTGTTAGAAGGATTTGGAGCTTTATTCACTTTTTTCAACACACTGCTATTATTTTGAACATAACTGTACAGCCAAACTTTGAAGTGATTAATATATATATTATTATTACCTTCATGTGGCTTATTTATTTATTACACTTGAACTTCTCTCTCTGAGCAGGGGGCTGGGAGTGTGTGAATGGAGAACTTCTATTGGGTTGGGGGTAGGTGGCGAACTGAGTCTTTGCCCTAGTGAAGGAATATCTAGCTTTGCCACTATGTCTGGCGATAATTTTTTCACAGCCAATTGTTGGGACAAAAGTCCAAGAAAATCATCCACAGTATAATTCTCTTGATGAGGTCTCACGACCAAAGACAATCTCTGTCCATTTCATTAGCAGAAATAATAGTTTTCTCTAAAGTATCAATGTTTAAACCCTTCTCTATAAATCGTTCTTTCATAACCTCTGCTTGTACAGAAAAATGCAACTGTCTAGTACAATTGCGTCTAATATGCATAAACTGGCTTCTAGGAACTAAGTAAGTGAAACCGTCTCTTCAGTAAAGCCAGGGATACATGAAAAAATAAATTGTTCAGATACTTTGTCATTTATATAAGCCCATTTTAGAAGTTTGATGATCGAGATCGTTATCACATAATTGTCATTATGATTATTAAAAACCCTCTGCAGGGAAAAAGAGGGGCTAAAGCATTTAGTAAGGAGTTCTTATTCTTGAATGGAGTAACATATAGCAGTTAAATCAAACCTGTCATAAAGAGTTACTTAAAGCAACATGTAATTAAATAAGAAAGTGAACAGAGAGAGGAGTATAGATAGAAGATACATTCTACTTACCTGTCCCTCCACCTGTTGTTCGATGCTCATTTAGAAGGTATGGTGCAGCTATTCTGACGTCTGGACCCTCTTTTGAGTGCTGTGGTTCCTTTTGTTGCCTCCACAAGACACAGTATTGACAAAGGGGTTGGCAGAAGGCCGCTCAGTGCTTGGTGGAGGGGAGGCAGGCATTCAACACTTTCAGAATTGCGCCAGATAAAGAGGATTTCCTAGGCATCATAGCTCTTGTAGAGAGTGAAGATTGGTGGCACGAGTGGCAGAACAGTAGATCTTATTGTATTGAATTTTTTTTTTACTTTCTAATTTAGTGACAATGTTGTTTTAAAATTATTTATCCCTACCTTATTCTTGAGTTCTGAATCTACAGGCACAACCAAATGGATGCTACTTGTGTACTTTGGCTATGTACTTGATTACATTGATTGGATCTGACTGAAGGCCACCATGTTTTATACAGCAGCATAATGGTATCAATGAAGAGAGGCACAGAGAAATCCCACAAGTGTGCATTGAGGAATGTCTGTTTTACAGGCAAATCACAGCAATTCAAGTCCACAAGATTTCAAATGTTTGGGGACTCAATGGAACAGTGTTTAGTCTACTATTTATGGCAAAAATTAGACACTTTTCCTTTTACATGTACCATGATTTATGAATGTTAATGATAAGCTCACTTAACACTTTTTAAGCCATTTAGCTAACTCAATGGTATTACAAAAACATTTTAGATTTACGGAAACATAAATTTACACATTTTTGTGCGGGCATAACTATGTATTCATATCTTGTTGTAGTTGTCAATGGATGCCTCTGTTTGACTGTACAATACTGCACATTGTGTATTAAGAACCGTTGACAAGGACTGTTGAACTGTTTACACACTGAATCATCCTCAGATAGATTTAACATCTGGAGACACTGGACAGTTACTTCATTGACACAAGAATATAAGCCATGCATCACCAAGTACCATGAACCCAGGGATACTACAGAAGATGCTAAGTAAACCTTGTTTTACTCCCACAGAGAGCATTAGCATTAATGGTCCTTCATCTTTCAGTGCCATATCAACACCTTCATAGATCTTTAGCTTAACCTATACTGAGGAAGGTCATTTTACTGTAAATGTGACCCTTCCAGGACCTTCACTGGTGTGTAGGAATAGAGTGAACTGGTTGTGGCTGTAGCACTAAATGTTTGCTTTGCGTGCTGAGTCTAAACTCGACTTTCCTGGTAAATTCTATTTTTATTTCATTCTTTTGCTTTCCTCCACTTTCGTTTACTCTGCTATGAAGGAAAATGGCTAATTTGCTTTGTTTTAACAGATGTTTCTTGTTCACTATAACTTATTCCAGATATAGTCTTTCCTTTAATGTTCATTTCTTCAGCCTGTGCCATTTTATTTTAAGATATTCTCTTTTCCCTTTCTTTAACAAAAACATAGTTTCTCATTATAGCATTGTTTTCTGCTTAGGTGGTGCCATGCAGTACAGCGATAATTACAGGTCACCACACCTAAATAAATTCAAAGACAATATAATTTACTAAAGATAGGCATAATGTTTGGAAAACAGGCTATTTTGGTTTAACAAATTCAAGGGTATATTTTTCGTACCTACTATAAATTGATACAAACAAGATAAAGTATGGTTGCCAAAGAATATTTAATATTAAAGGAATTTTTGCTCTGCTGAATCTAGATTAACAGGATCATTAGCTAGTGAGTAAAATGTTTCAGCATGACAGGAAGGCAGAGGAAATATCTCTAAATGGAAATAAATCATGATGAGGGTTCAAAACCCTCCCAGCTCCTATGCAAAAAAGAAAGTTTTTAAGAAAGAAACTTTAAGTCTCGGTTCACACTAGTGCGGCCTGCAGTGCAACTTCGCCAGGTGACTTGAGTACTAGTTTTAATGAACACTGAAGCAACTTTCAGGGAATGCCTGTAATGTTGGATCCAAATCACATCAATATAGATGAGGATCCGACTTGAAGGCAACTTCCATCAAAGTCTATGGGCACAAGCCGGATAGAAGTTGCCTTGAAGTAGTACAGGAATCTTTTCTAAAGTTGGAGCGACTTCAGTAGTGCTAATTAAGACAGCTCTTATTGACTAACATGGGGCCCCAAGTCGAATCCCAAGTCACGGCAGTGTGAACCAAGCCTAAAGTAGTCCTTTCGATTGCCACTGTTTACAGAGACTAAATCCAAATATAGTATATTTAGCTTGCAAACAAATTACAAATAGTCAATGAAGAAAAACTCTTCTTCAGTCTACATCATATTCCTAGTTATTGGCCCATTGGATACTGCCATCGTGCACAGCATGGAGAAGGTGATGTCAGGATTCAGCCAAAGCTCACACATCAGAGACAATCAGCACTTCCTGTGGGACCCTCGTTCAGTAGAGGCGGTTTTTAATGGAGGCAAGGCCTTTACTATCAACTTTTGATAACAAGACTCATTAACGCTTAATATATACTATAGTATATAATATATACTGCCAGAACTACACAGAAAAGCATCAACATCCCTTTAAATATAAACAGAATAATACACTAGAAATGGGACTTTAAAGGTGCCTAATATACCTATAATATTATATAATTTAATTCACAAACTAAAAGTATAAAGCATTAGTGCCACGTGTGGCCTATTTACAGATCCACAATGTATTGATATTTAAAAAAAAAAAAACAAAACACTTGTTTCACAGTATTTTTTCCACCCTACTCTGAAAATATTTACATCCTTTATTATAGTCACATCAGATGACCTCAAGATCCTAGATGACAGTAGCAGTTGTGATCTCAGCAGTTACAGTGAGGAGCAGAAGTATTTGAACACCCTGCGATTTTACAAGTTCTCCCACTTAGAAATCATGGAGGGGTCTGAAATTCACATTGTAGGTGCATTCCCACTCTGAGAGACAGAATTAAAAAAAAAATTCAGGAAATCACATTGTATGATTTTTTTAACCACTAGCCTACCAGGCACTTATACCCCCTCCCTGCCCAGGCCAATTTCCAGCTTTCAGCGCTGTCACACTTTGAATGACAATTGCGCTGTCATGCAACACTGTACCCATTTGAAATTTTTATCATTTTTTTGTGATAGATAGAGCTTTATTTTGGTGGTATTTAATCACCTCTGGGTTTTTTATTTTTTCTTAAACAAACCAAAAACCACTGAAAAATTTGAAAAAAAAAGTTTTTTTCTTAGTTTTTGTTATAAAATTTTGTAAATAAGTGATTTTTCTCCTTCACTGATGTACGCTAATCAGGCTGTAGTGATGGGCACTGATAAGATGCACTGATGGACACTGATAGGTGGCACTGATGAGGAGGCACTGGTAGGTGGCACTGATGGGCATTGACAGGCATCACTGATGGTCACTGAAAGGCAGCACTGATATATAGCACGGATATATGGCACTGTTAGGCGGCACTGACTGGCACTGTTAGGCGGCACTGACTGGCACTGTTAGGCGCACTGACTGGCACTGATAAGCGACACTGACTGGCACTGATTGGCAGCACTGATAGGTGGCACTGATTGGCATTGATAGGTGGTACTGACTGGCACTGATGGGTGACACTGAAGGGCAGCTCAGATGGGCACTGATTTGTGGCATTGATGTGCACTGGTAGGCACTGATATGTGGCACTGATGGGCACTGGCACGTGGCACTGTTCAGCTGGCACTGATGGACTCTGACAGGTGGCACTTCTGGGGCCACACTGACCATGAGGGCACACTGATCATCAGTGCCCTGATGATCAGTGTAGATGTCCCCTCCGCGGAAAGCCGATTACCGGCTCTCCTCTCCTCTCGAGCTGTCAGCGTGACAGCTCGAGAGGAGAGCAATGCCGATAACCGGCATTTCCCTGTTTACATGTGATCAGCTGTGATTGGACACAGCTGAGCACATGACCGAGCCGACATCTTCGGCTCTTTCCGTGGATGGGTGATTGGCTGTGTCCGAGGGACACAGAGCACCGCCGATCGCCACGCTGCGCGCTCCCTGAGCCGTGCATGCGCGGTGAGAATGGCAGGACGTCATATGACGTCCTATCAGAACGAGAGAACCACCTTGCGCCCATCATTGGACTATATGGCGGGCGGGAGGTGGTTAAAGAATTTATTTGTCTTGCGCTGCTGATCATAAGTATTTGAACACCTAAGAAACAGCAAGAATTCTGGCTCTCAAAGACCTGTTACTGTGCCTTTAAAAAGTCCACCTCTACTCCACTCATTAATCTAACTTAGTAGCACCTGTCTCAGCTCTTTAAAGACAACTGTCCACCCCACAGTCAGTCAGACGCTAACTACTACCATGGGCAAGACCAAAGAGCTGTCAAAAGACACCAGAGACAAAATTGTGGACCTCCACAAGGCTGCAAAGGGCTACGGGGCAATTGCCAAGCAGCTTGGTGAAAATAGATCAACTGTTGGAGCAATTGTTAGAAAATGGAAGAGGCTAAAGACGACTGTCAGTCTCCCTTGGACTGGGGCTCCATGCAAGATCTCACCTCGTGGGGTATCACTGATGATAAGAAAGGTGAGGAATCAGCCCCGAACTACAAGGGAGGAGCTGGTCAATGACATGAAGAGAGCTGAGACCACAGTTTCAAAGGTCACAGTCGGTAGAACACTACGCCGTCATGGTTTCAAATCATGCATTGCACAGAAGGTTCTCCTGCTCAAGTCATCACATGTCCAGGCCCGTCTGAAGTTTGCCAATGACCATCTGGATGATCCAGAGGAGGCATGGGAGAAAGTCATGTGGTCAGATGAGACCAAAGTAGAACTTTTTGGTCTAAACTTCACTCATCGTCTTTGGAGGAAGAAGAAGGATGAGTTGCATCCCAAGAACACCATCCCTACTGTGAAGCATGGGGGTGGTAACATCATGCTTTGGGCGTGCTTTTCTGCGAAGGGGACAGGATGACTTCACTGTATTAAGGAGAGGATGAATGGGGCCATTTATTCTGAGATTTTGAGCAACAACCTCCTTCCCTCAGTCAGAGCATTGAAGATGGGTCGTGGCTGGGTCTTCCAACATTACAACGACCCGAAGCACACAGCCAGCATAACCAAGGAGTGGCTCCGTAAGAAGCATATCAAGGTTCTGGAGTGGCCTAGCCAGTCTCCAGACCTAAATCCAATAGAACATCTTTGGAGGGAGCTGAAACTCCATGTTGCTCAGCAACAGCCCCGAAACCTGACAGATCTAGAGGAGATTTGTGTGGAGGAGTGGGCCAAAATCCCTGTTGCAGTGTGTGCAAACCTGGTCAAGAACTACAGGAAACGTTTGACCTCTGTAATTGCAAACAAAGGCTTCTGTACCAAATATTAACACTGATTTTCTCAGGTGTTCAAATACTTATATTCAGCAGTGCAAGACAAATACATTTTTTAAAAATCATACAATGTGATTTCCTGAATTTTTTTTTTTTTTTTAAATTCTGTCTCTCAGAGTGGGAATGCACCTACAATGTGAATTTCAGACCCCTCCATGATTTCTAAGTGGGAGAACTTGCAAAATCACAGGGTGTTCAAATACTTCTGTTCCTCACTGTATGTTGCAACCTGTTTCATGGGCTCCAAATTTCCCACATCCTCAGGCTCTTCGAAACTAAAGTATAGAGATAAAAACCTCATCCAATAAATATATGATATAACAACAGTGCATGTGATTTACATTATATAGAGTACTATTTATTGTGAACCATAGTCAGGAACCTGGGGACCACCACCACACCACAATGCACATCTTATGGGGACCTACAATTAAATGGTAAATATACATACCACTTGGAGGGGTCCCAGAGGGTATACCTTCAATGTGAAATAAATTATACCATTCTTTTAGCTCTCTTCTATTGTCCAACAATAGATAGGTTATATAGTAGCTGCATATCACAACCTAGAACATTAGCGGATGTCCTCTTAGATACAGTATCTATATAGACAATAAATCATTACTATCCCTTCCATGTTGCCACTGTAATGCATATGTGCATCCCATAGGGGCTCCCCTTAAAGCAAGATGTAACTACATATCTTAATCATATCTCAAAAGTACCCACCTATTCAAAACAGTAATTGAGAACACAGCACTAATGATCCATAAGCAAGACTAAACAAAAACCCACCTTAAAGCACCCAATAAACCATCTTGTAGTATATGTGTTTCCATGGGCAAGGCAGGGGCAAGAATTCAGTAAAACACATTCCTACCATTACAGTCCCTCTGTTGAGAACCCCCTCCTGTGGTGGGCGGTATAATTTTCAGTATAATTGGAAGTCATCATTTGGCCATATTGGATATAGAAAATATATCCTCTCCAATATTCACTGGTCTAACCTTCAGCAAGTCACATGACATGGGAAGATCTTACATGCACAACCACCCTGCAATTTCCTCCCACTTTCCTGACCTGATAACCATAAGGGGCCATGGGAAACATCACCCATAATAACAGAGGGCCAATTGTAGTCATTTGATGTGACTAAAAAAAAGGATGAATAGATTATAAGAGTAGAGTAGAAAAGCCAATGTTATACTGTGAAACAAGTGCTTTTTAATGTCAATACATTGGGGATCTGTAAACAAGCCATGTGTGGCACTAATACATTGTACTTTTAATACTTTGTGAATAAATTTGTATAATTTTAATAGCGGTGTATATTATTATGGTTATATTGCTAGGCACCTTTAAACTCCCATTTCTAGTGTATTCTGGTTTTTTTATGACAAGACCCCATTTACATACAGTATAAGCAAACAATATTTAGTCGGTACATTTCTGGGAAATAAGGAGTGCACCTAAAACAGCTGATGGAGCAGAATACAAAGGTACCACTATACGTGCTTGAGAAATGGTAATATTCACTTTAAAGGATAAGTTCGCCTTTAAAAAAAAAAAAAATGATAGCACATCTTTTTGCAGGTAAAAAATATGTGCTATATTTGCATGTAAAAAATATGTGCATTTTTATTGTTTTTACCTGGAGCATAGAAAACACTTTTTTTTTTTTAAGTGTTACTAAACCCAGGACTCTGCATTCACTCTATCTGGTCCCTTACAGTACACAGAACATGGAAGTGCAATTATTTTAGAAAATGTGAACTGCTAAATACCTTTTCTCATCAGCAGTTGGAGCAGTCTTGTGACTTCTCTCGGTGTCCAGCAGAGCTCTGGTTATAGCTTGTAGGAGGAGTTTTCATTCTCCTCTAGGAAGATGTAGAACCCCTGACCTCTGTCTGGACAGAGTTGATTGGCCCTGTGCTGATCACATGCACTCTCCCAAGAAAAAAAAAAACTATAGCAATACACACCAAACTTAGCATGTACAGAGTGACTCCAAACCTATCAGGAGATATTTAGGGGACAGTGGAAGAAGGGGAGGATCAGAGAAGAGAGGAACAAACAGCCTTTTTACACCCCTTAGGTTCCACAGTGAGCATGACAAGCATGCTTTATTGCATATACAGACTGATTTTACTGTTGTGGGTTTAGTAACACTTTAAATTGTGATGGGGGGGGTGAGAAGATCCCCCGCTAGCTATCGCTAGAGCCAGCGGTGCAGGCAGTGGCTCCAAAAAACAAGTGGAACATGTTCCCAAGATGAACTTATTCTTTAATAAAATATGGCTTCCTTGGAATATGTATTGCCCCACTATTTAAACTTTCCTGTTAGAATTTTTTTAAACATTTTACTTCAATCCACTACTCATACTACAGAACAATATGCTAAGCTTATTTGTAATATTTAAAGAAAACTCAGTTCTCCTCAGGGCAGCCAAACTTCTGATTGCTGTAGAATACCCTACACCCCATAAAACTGGCAAGTTTATATTGGAGACGAGAACAGAGACACCTCCAGAACATGTTGTCTTGGGGAGGAACAATAGTAAAAATTTTATAACCTGCATATTTCAATGATCCTCTGATTGGCAGTGGTCAATGCAGGTCTGCCCACTACCATAGGCAAGAGATTTATCCTTGTTAAATTGGAATTAAAATATAGACATAAAAACTAAAAAGTCTTGTTTGCATGCCATCAAATAGATTTTTCTGTGGGCAAACAAGCCTGAGTTAATGAAACTACAGCATGACAATGGCTCCCCTGATCCAATGTTATATTACCACACCATTCACTTAGCCAGATTCATTAAGTGGTGTAGACATAGGGACACGGAATTATGGGTTCAGCTAGAGCAGGAACTGATTAACATTGCCTCATTTGACACTCCATGGATCAGTGAAATATTCTCTAAACACATCCAACCATAAATCTGACATTTAAGACATGTGAATACCATATTTGCCGGCGTATAAGGTGACTGGATGTATAAGACGACCCCCTAATTTTCCAGTTAAAACATAGGTTTTGGGTTATACTTGCCGTATAAGACTACCCCCCTTCGGAGGCAACACCATTTAAAAATATCAGATTTGATTTAAATATTTTAAATAAAATGGTTATGACTGACCGGTAGTTAATATCCTTCAAAATCCTCATCATGTTCATCCTCTGACATCAACAGCACGGTTTTTATGTTCCTTGGCAAAGTTTACAGCTTTCAGTTTGAAACTGTCTTCATATTTCCTTCTTCTTGCTGGAGCCATTATGGGGGTCTTACCTACCAGCCATTTTGTTTAACCACTTTCTGTCCGGACACTTTTACCCCCTTCCTGTCCAGGGCAATTTTCAGCTTTCAGCGCTATCACACTTTGAATGACAATTGCGCGGTCATGCAATACTGTACCCATATGAATTTTTTACCATTTTTTTGAGACAGATAAAGCTTTATTTTGGTGGTATTTATTCACCGCTGGGATTTTTATTTTTTTTTTACTATGTAAATGAAAAAGTCCAAAAATTTTGAAAAAAAAAGTGTTTTTTTTTAATAAAATTTTGCAAATAAATAATATTTCATCCTAAATCTTGG